ACAATACAACCAACAACAGTTTCCCCTCTCTCCACTTCTCCCCCACAACGTCCCCCACCTCCTCTCTCCCCAAGATTCACCCCTCCACCTTCCCCGAGAAAAGAGCAGGGTTCCCAGGGACATCGACCAAGCACAGCATAGAAAATTGCAATGAGACTGTGTGGTAAGGGGTATTGGTTGTTCTTGTTTTCCTGAGGCATCGAATTGTTATTAATCATTAAGTTATTAAATTGAGATCTCAAGTACTTTATGTAGGCACCTGGTGCTGTAACCTCCCCTCTTAGAACTGCCTTCATTTGGTCTCATCAGTTTGAGTATGTTGTGTTTTCATTTTCATTCAGTTCTAGGAATTTTTAATTTTTTTTCTTGATTTCTTCCCTCATGCAGTATTGATTTAGTGGTGTGTTTAGCTTCCATGAGTTGGTGTACTTTCCTAATATTGCTAATATTCAATTTTATTGCATGGTGGTCTAATGCAGTGCAGGGTCTGATCTCAGCTTTCCTGTATCTGTTAAGACTTGTTTTGTGTTCTAATATGTGGTCCATTTTAGAGAAAGTCCTGTGAGGTACTGAGAATATATAGTCTTTAATGTTGCAGGGAAGATTCTATATAGATAACCTCTTAGGTCCATTTTACTTATGAGTCATTTAATTCAGAGTTTCTCTATTTAGTTTATTTCCAGGTGGCCTGTCTATTGAAATCACCCACTATTACTATGGTTTTGCCATCTGTGGTTTTAAGTCTAATAATGTTTCTTTTATGAAATTGGGTCCTCCTGTATTTGGTGTATATATGTTTAGTATTATAATATCCTGTTCCTGGATTTTCCTTAACTGAATATAATGAGTTCTTCCTTACCTTTTCTGACTAGTTTTGAAGTCTTGTTTTGTCAGATACACCTGCTTGGTTTTTGGTTCCATTTTCTTGGAATACTTTTTTTTTTTCATCTTTTTACCCTAAGGTGGTATAGCTGTAGGTCATAAGATGTATTTCTTGGAGGTAGCAAAACAAAAAAAAAAATCATATTTTCTGGCCCAAGCAATTAATATGTTTCTGTTTCTTGGTGGGTTAAAATTATTCACATTAAGTTTTTTAAAATGTGTATTAATTTTCTTTTGCTTTTGTAGTTTTCAGTTAGACCTCTTTTGTAAAGATGTATTTATTTTTATTTTATATGTATGAGTGTTTTGCTTGTATCCATGTCTCTGCACCACATGTGTGTGGTACCTACAGAGGGCAGAAGATGTCTGGCCCCCAGGGACTGGAGTTACCAGTTAGGAGCTGCCATGTGGGTGCTAGGAATTGAATCCAGGTCCTCTGCAAGAGCAGCCATCTCCACATTAAGCCATCTCTCCAACCCCTACTAGACCTCTCTTGATTTAGTGTTCCAGAATTATTGTTCCTTGTGTGTGTTTAACCTTCTTTTCAGACATATGCATTCCTTCTAGTAGCTTCTGTAGAGGTAGGTTAGTGGTCATAAATTCCTCAAATCTTTTTATCATACAAAATTTTCTTTCTCCCTCTATTGTGGCTGACTGATTGTTTTACTAGGCATAATGTTCTGTTTTGGAATCTGTGGTCTTTCATAATTTGTAAAACTTCAGTTCTCTTCTGGTTTTCAATGTCTCCGATGAAAAAACTGCTATGATTCTGAAGGTCCTGCCTTTGATTGTGAGCTATCTTAATCTCTTGCTGTTTTCAATATCCTTTCTCGGTTTTGTGCATCAGTGTTTGGGCTATTACATGACACAGGGAGTTTCTTTTCTGGCCCTGTGTCATGGTTTGGTTTTCTGGAAGCCTCTTGGAGTTTGACAGGCACCTCTGCTTAGATTAGGGAAGCTTTCTGTTGGTCTTGTTGGCCTGGACCACTTCTCCTTCTGCCATAACTGTTCATCATGGATGTGGCTTTCTTATATAAAGTTCCACAGTTCCTGCATCTTTTCTTCTTGTTGGTTTGTTTGTTTGTTGCTGTTGTTGGCCTTTGTTTTGTTTTGACATTTTTTTTTTTGACTGAATGAGCCAATTCCTCTGCCCTTAAGACTGGATAGTCTCTGTCCCACTTGATCCAGCCTATTGGTGAGGCTTCCTTCTGATTTTTGTTTTGTTTGCTTGATTTTTTGATTCCTGAATTTTTCAAGTTTTTTCATTTTGGCTTGTCTTCAGAGATTCTCTTCCTTTATTATATTCTACTTTCATATCTTGTATTGTTTTCATTATTTCATTAAACGTTTGTGTTTCCGTGGTCTTAATTCAAGCATTAATTCATATTCTCTTTGAGTTCTTGGATCATGTTTATTATTGCTATTCCAAATTCATTGTCTTATGCATCCTCAAAGTTGCTTTTCTCAGGGGACATTACTATGAGAATACTAATTTTGGGGATAGTCTTGCTTTGGTTATTCATTATTATATATTTAAGATGGCACCTAGGCATCTGGAGGTAGATCATCAGTTCTGTTTCTTAGTATGGAAAACTTACCTGTATTTTGTTGATTGTATTTCCTATTGCCCCAATTTGTCAGGTTGACCAGCTGTATGGGACTTTAGGTTCACTCTGGGCAAAGCAGTGTTGATGTTTGAGTGCAGTCTCAGCATGAGCTAAGTTATGTCTCTAAGCCCAGGAGACCTTCCATAAATCCATAAGATTCTCACAGCCAGTCTTCAGAAGTCCAGGGGGAATGCTCAGAACTTCCCCTCAGGTACGGGGTGCTGGTGAGTTGGCAGTGCAAGTCTAGGATCCCTGCCTGAGGAAGAAAGGCAGGGAGGTGGTGGAAGATGTTGTTGGTTGTTTTTTGTTGTTGTTGTTGTTGTTGTTGTTTTTGTTTTTTAATTCTTTTACTTGTTGGCTCTTTGGAGGCCTGCCACCAAGCTCCCAAATAAATACACATGGAGACTTATTATTACGGCCTTAGCTTGGCTTGTTTCTGGCCAGCTTTTCTTAACTTATCCCAGCCACCTTTTGCCTCTAGGCCTTTGTCTTTTTCTGTTTCTGTATACCTTTCTTTACTTCTTACTCTGTGTAGGCTGAGTGGCCGCCCCTCAAGTCCTCCTCTCCTCCTTCTTTCGCTCCTAGATCTGGTTTTCCAGATTTCTCCTCCTATGTATTCTCTCTGCCTGTCAGCCCCACCTATCCTTTCTCCTGCCTTGCTGTTGGCCATTTAGCTCTTTATTAGACTAGTCAAGTGTTTTAGGCAGGCAAAGTAACAGAGCTTCACAGAGTTAAACAAATGCAACATAAAAGAATGCAACACATCCTTGCATCATTAAACAAATGTTCCACAGCATAAATAAGTGTAACACATCTTTAATTAATACTCTACAACCGGAAGACACACAGGACACATGTTCCTCTGGCAACACACTGGGGTTAAAGAAGTTTCAGGTACACATCTTGTGAACCTTTCTGGAAAAGGGTGGTACTCAGGTCTTGGGAATAGGTGGAGTTGGGAGTGTGAATCTATTGTCTAGCTAGAAAAGAAGCCAAGTGTGGGCAGCAGGGCAGTGGCATGGGTTCATTTGGTAAAAAGAGTCTAGATTCCCTGCTTAGAGATGGGGAGGGGTAAGGTCACTGAGCCGGGGTGGATGGAATTATCAGTATGAGTTAGGCCTTCCTACCTGAAAAGGGGTGCCAGAAAGAGCTTTAAAGGGCAGGCATGAAGCATGTGTTGCTAGGGCAGGTCATGAGGGTGAGTAGAATGCTGCTGTGGGGTCTGGTGCCTCTTCCTAGGGAGGGTGAGTCCACAGGTTGCAGGGATGAGTGGAATTAGTGGCATGGGCCTAGTGTCTGCCTACTGAAGAGGCCAAGTATGGACAGCAGGGATGTATGAAATACAGAGCAGGATAGGGTTGGTGCTGGGAGTCTGGACTGCTTGTCTAGGAATGGTGGCTAAGGACTTTTAGTGTGGGGTAAATAGGGTTAGTGGTGTGAGGGGGTACCAGAAAAGGTACAAGAAGGGAGGCACACATGGGCCATATGTTCCTCGGGCATGTCTCAAGGGAAGAATATAATGTTTCAAGAATTATAAGTTGAGTATCTTCTAAGGCCATGGTAGTGAGAGAACTTAAAAGGTGTAAAGATTATGGAACTTATTTAAAGTGAGCCTCAAAACTGGTCTGCCTAGCAGCATCTTGTATGAAGGATTTTTTTTTAAGATTTATTTATTATGTATACAGTGTTCTGTCTGTATGCCTGCAGGCCAGAAGAGGGCACCAGATTTCGTATTGGATGGTTATGAGCCACCATGTGGTTGCTGGGAATTGAACTCAGGTCCTCTGGAAGAGCAGCCAGTGCTCTTAACCTCTGAGCCACCTCTCCAGCCCGAAATGTGTTTTAATTGTATCTTCTCCCCCGCTACCACCACCACCACAATACTGTACATCGCACTGCAATATGTCAGCAGGTGCTGAGTATCAGTGATGATCAGCACTATTTTGGCTGGTCCCTTAGGTCAGATCTGAAGGAAAGACCTATGGTCCCTAGAGAACAGAAACATTCTCCTTTAAAGACACTAGGTTAAAACAAGTTGGCTCCACAGGCATTGGTATCTAAGGTCTTGATGCCATGAGTTTGCCCTCTTACTATTAATACTCCATTGAATTGGCAGCATGATTTATTCTTACAAATCACCAGAGACAACCTGTTTATTAATTTTAGTCATTCAGGAGGACCTGATCTCTAGAAGGAAACAAGCTAAGGGCCATTGAGGTATGAGGTGGTGAAGAAAGCCCAAGGAAGAACTTTTCCTCATAGAAACGGGACAAGGGCCAAAGCACAGGTCAGTGAGAGGCTCCCCAGTGTCTCATCGGAGTTGATTTCAGCACATGGAGGAAGTGCAGGGGGAGCCTGCGTGTAGGCTATGCTTGCCGGACCCAGTGATGTGCTTCCTGCCACCAGCTGCAGTCTGCAGAGCACCCTTCGTGGGAGATCTCTAAAGCTGTGTGGCAACATGTAAGTTGTAGACAGAGCGTTTGTTATAAAATGTTGTTTTTCTATTTTCAGTAAATATTCAAGATGTGGTATTACAAGAGAATTTGGAAAAAGAAGATCAAATTCTGGTTTCCTTGGCAGGGTTAAAGCAGGTATGTTCATGACTGTGATACCATGTGTGTGTTCACGGGCCAGCATTGTGCCTACTCTGGGATGATTCCCTTACAGTATATAGGACCATAAAGAGCCATTCACTGATATCAGGCCAGGTAGAGTTCCTTCTGAGTCTGTGCCTCCTCAGGCTCCTTACTCCTGGGGACTCTGTCTCACTGGCTTGTAGCCCAAATGGTTTTCCATTTCCCCATCAGCTGCCCCTACTTCCTCTTCCTACAAGACCCATTGCATTTGCACCTTACCTCAACATAAGGTTTGGTCATTTATTTACAAATACATGGATGCTGTTGGAAGCACAGATGATAGTCATTACTTTCAATGGGCCTCAAGAGCCCAATTTACCTGCCCCTGGCAGGTCTAAGCAAGATGCAGTGTCAGTGAAAAGGAGCGGGAGTGGAACCACTTTCTGGCTGTGCAGCTGCGCAGATGGCACTTCCCACTGCATAATCAGCACAGTGCTGACCTGAACAGAGTCATATCTTTATAACTTTGAAACGGTTGGATTTTCACCAATGGTTCATTTCTTACAGTGTGATGTTAACATTCATACTCCAGTATTCTCCACTTCATCCATGGGGTATGTCCCAAGACCCTTCCCTAAATGCCTAAAATCACAGGTTTTACTGCATTGTCTATGTACTATATTTTTCCCTACACATAACTGACCTAAACTAAGGTTTAGCGATTAGACATGGTGAGGGATCACAAGAGCAACTGAGAAGAGAGTGACTGTAACAGCATAACATATAGATAGATAGATAGATAGATAGATAGATAGATAGATAGATAGATAGATAGATAGATAGATAGATATAGATATATAGATATATAGATATATATAGATATATATAGTGAGGGTTGTGTGCCCTCTCTCAAACTCACTGCCTGTGCTCTCCTCCTACAGAGATGTCAAGGTGCAGCCGTCCGTGATGAAGGAAGGTGGGGGATGGGGTGCTGTTGTATAAGACTTGGCTACTGTGGGGAAGTACTGTGATGCAGCACAGTTGATGAGCAGAGCAGCAGAGTACATGGCATGGGCAGTCTGGACAAAGGGTTGATTCCCATTAACTCCTCTGCAAGGTGTCTTGCTCAAGAAGGCAAGAGATTTCAGCATACTATTCAGGCTAGCACACAGCGTAAAGCTTAGGACCTATTCTTTCTACAAGTTCTCCTCATGCTCTAGACTTCTAGAAAGGAATTACAGTAGGAAAAACAGGTCAATGACTAGTTTACTTCAAATGTATGTGATGCTACCCAGCACTTAGCTACAAACTCGTTCATCTTTTTGTTATTTTCCTCTCCTTTGAAAATAGATCAAAGATATTCTGAAAGGTTCCCTGCGCTTCAACCAGAGCCAGCTGGAGGCTGAGGAGAATGAGCAGATTACCATTGCCGATGACCACTACTGCTCCAGTGGCCAGGACCAGAGCAACCCAGTTCCCGGGGCCACCAAGCAGGTACAGGAGTCTTGATGAATGCTTATGAGAATGAGCTTTCATGAAATTAAAGGAAGTTCCTCAGAGTTGGGAAGGACAGTCCTGCCAAAGAGAGCTAGTGGGGTGCTCCCCGTCAGTGGCTGCCCATAGTCAAGGTTTTTGTTGCTATTGTTTGGGGGTTTTTAACCTTTGATTAAGCACGATGTCCATCCTTGGGACACAATATAAAATTGTTTACAGAAACTGACCCTCACTCTTCTTAGAGGACAGAGCATCAGAGTTAACACACCCACTGTGACCCCTTGTCTTTCGTGACGATATAAATCACATCACATAGTTAGGTCTGGCAGACCTAAAGCAATAGCATTTAGCTCCTTAAGCTTCATAAGCTTGATTACACTGTCTGTCCCATTAAAAGAAATCAATCTCTTTTCCCTGCAGCTTACCATATGTGGGGATTTAGGATTAACTAAGATTTGAGAACCCAAGTAGAATGGAAACTAGCCATGCCCAGGAATTCTCCCGGCTGTTTCTAGGTTTTTAGAAGCTAGCTGACAAATTGCCAGCACTTGTCTGGGTTAAGGCTTTTGTCCTGGAGATGTTCTAAAGCTTGTTCCTGTGTCTTTGGACTCCTGTGCTTTTTCCTTGGAGACTTTGTAGCTTTCAAGCCAAGAAATGTAAAGCCTTCTAGATGTTTTTATCTGAACCCCATTGACAGGCTTGCAGTTAGTATATTATTATCTACATATTGTGGCAGACTTTTAATTCTCCTCAAGTCTTTGCCCAGGATCTCTCTAAAAATGGTCCTGGAATGTTTAGAGCCCTGTGGAAGCACTGTCTTCAAGTGCTGTTTTGTTGTGTCTATCTGCTCATTTAAAATCAACAATTCCCAGGACCCAGGACCCAGCAGGATGCAGAAAGAAAGTGTCCTTTAAATCCAGAACTATGGAGTACTTTCTGTCCCAGGAAAGTTGATAGGGATTAGGAACTGCAGATGCTCTGCACAGCTTCTTCTGTTGCTCAAGAGCCCTGTGCAAACCTATCCTCCCCACCAGGTTCCTTAAGTGCCGGAGAGCCTCAAGGTGCTCCTAACCCTGCCTTGAGAAGCTGGTCAAGCACAAGCTGCATTCTCTGGTGGATGGGGTGCCTCATTAGCAGTCAGCACAGAATGCATGTCTCAACATTTAGTAGACATGCATTTTCCTCCTTAGCTGCATCCGAGATCAACCCAGGCTCCTTGCAGTTATCTGGTTTGCACTAAAAGGAGCCCCATGGCCTTGTCTTCATCTTCTGCAAGAAGCAGCTGATAGGAGGCAGGCTTGTTCTCTGTCAGCCCTCTAAGGTCAGTCTCTGCCTCGTGGTGGAGGGGCAGGTGCGGAGGTAAAGTGAGTCCTTACCGCACACTGGATCATCTTGGCAAGATTATAGCTTTGCTAGCTAACTTTGTTATTTCCAGACAGGTTCTCAATATGTAGACCAAGCTACTTTCCAAGTGCTAGGATTGAAAGTGTGAGCCAGCACCCCCAGCTAACCCCAAACTTTTACGTGTATCCATAGATATTAGTGACTGTCCGCTAAAAACAATAAAAATCCACTTAAATGTTGTAAAGGGAAAAATAATTGTGGACTAAAGTGCTATGTGTTTTTCATCTGAACTTTGCTTTTCATGATTTTCCGATTTATTTTTCTTGGTTTACTATTTATTGCTGGAACTTACCAGTTACCAACATTGCTCCAGGAGACCCGCACATGTGCACCCAAGATTAGCTAGCTGTGAGACAGGAAAATTACTCCAGATGTGGGAGCTCACATTCAAAAGCCAGCTTTGTGGGTCTGCCCTGCCGTCTCACCACACTGTGCCCGCAGAGTAGGAGATGCAGCCCTCACCCTGTCTCGTAGGTGTGAGATTCAAGCTCACAGTGGTTCCCTCGAGGCCGCTCCCAGGGTGGTGCCCTTGGCTTGGTGCTGGCTCCTGGGCCTTGCCCCCTGCAGTGCGGATACCGCCTTTCCTTGCAGCTTTTCAAACAGGAACTTGACTTCTGTCTCTTGGGAAGCAAGTGTTTGGTTTCAGAGGCTCGCAAGGCCGTACTGGCTCCACACCACTACCACGTGTCAGAGCGTCAGGGCCATGGAACAACCAAATGGGGTGCAGGGTGAGATGGCCACCTGGCCGAGACAGCCACCCTGCTCGCAGGCCCCTGCGCAGTGTGGCCGTTCCTGCGCTCACCATCTCCTCTGGTCTTACTCCGCAGGCCTCTTCAGAGCTGCCAGGGTGTGCGGGTGGAGGGACCTCAGATGACTTCATTCTGGTTTCCAGAGAAGATGAGGGGCGCAGTGCCAGGAGGGCCTTGGCAGGCCAGTCCCAGCCTCTTCTCCCCCTCAGAAGCACATCCGGGAAAAGCAGAGCCCCAGCCTGCTCCCCACTGGTGTTCTCAGACCCGTTGATGGGCCCCGCCTCAGCTTCCTCCAGCAACCCCAGCTCCAGCCCTGACGACGACAGCAGCAAGGACTCTGGCTTTACCATCGTGAGCCCCTTGGACATCTGAACACAGGGACCCTACTAGTGGAGACCCTGCTGGACCAGTGTTTCTTTCCCAGCATGCATTTGGCATTGGCACAACCCTTTGGAACCATTTAGAAAGAGGTTCCCTCTTTCAATGCGCTGTGTTCACCATAAGTGCAGACAGACCTTTCCAGGCCCTTCTGCCCCTGTGCCCCTTGCTCTGAGTTAGGGCTAGCTCCGTGCCCACTGTCAGACCAGACCACAACCGAGCCAGCTGTCTTCCAGGCCCTCCTCCCCAACACCTGTCAGTTACACTTGGAAGGAAGGGCTGCTTTCAAGACTCCCTTTTATCAAAGCTTCAGCCACGGGAAAATTGTTGACACTGTGGGAATCTGGCAGGCGGCCTCAGTCTTGCCTTCAGAAGCCCAACCGCAGACTCACGGCCGCAGAACAAACAGAGTGAGTGCCTCCCGGCCTGGGCTCGTTTCCCAGCCCTGGGTTGATAAACTTCAGCCACTTCTGTTCCTCTCTGAGAAACTGCATTTCACCTTCTAGACTCTCCATAGCCAGGAAGCAGGGTGGCTATAAGCTCCAGCGGCCTGTTCAGTGAACACAAAGGAAAACCACACTCACACCACCCAGAGCCAGACCCCCATTTGGAATTAGATTTGGAGCCCCTTCCACGGGAGCAGGCTTACTAAAGAACATTCCAGGTGCCAGAAGATGCAGAGCTCCTGCTCACCCCTTTCCACTCTGGGCACTCAGTTGTAAACTGCACCCAGGCACCACTGCTAGGATGGGTCTTCCTGCCGCATGCCCCTGCCTGGGCTGGCATAGGTGTGACACTCCTCGGTTAGCAGAGTACAGGGCTGTATCAGGCACAACACATCTTTCTTGCAGGGAGAAGGGCTTTCTGTGCCCAAGCAGGTGTTCTGGGGACAGTGGGGATTGTTGGCAGAGGCAGCCCGTTCTATCTGCCTCTGTCCCTGTCCTTCGAGGGCAGCAGAGCTCTGGGCATTGACCCCCCCCCCCAGCACTGTCTTTCTCTGCAGACAGGTGTGCTAATGTCAGGATGCTGCCCATGCTCGAGTCATCGATGAGGATTTCTCCTTAGCTGGATAGCAGGGCTCATGACTCACATGGTAGCAAGGCTCAGCCGTGCCTGGTGAGCTACGCCCCGGCCTCTGCCTAGTCCTCCCAGCACTCTGAGGAGGACTAGTTCGATGTCCCATAAAGATCCTCTGTAAGAACCAGGACCACCACATGATGGACATCCATCCCCTGAGGGTACCCTTAGACCTAAGATAGGAATATTGACTCACCCCTCCAGCCCGGGGACAGTACTGGCCATGTCTGTCCCAGCTGGGGCACTGTCCCCAACATTCCCTTTGCTTTGAGAATAAGGGTCATAGCTGAGTATTACTAGCTATTCACGGGGCCAAGAAGGTGACAGGCTGATTCCTTACCATTTGAATGGGCATTTCATAGTCCCTAACCTACCTGATATGCCCCCCCCCAATCCTCTGCTTGTGTGGGTGCCACATGAGAGCTCCTGTGTTCACACTGAGATGTTTCTGTGGTCCCCAGTCAGTCCATTCTCTGCTTGGAACAAACAGGAATGGAGAGTGTGGTCTTTTCTAAGTGACTCCGTTCTTCCTGGTTGAACATTGCGTCCTCTCTGTTACCTACATTGCTGGTGCAGAATGCATTCCTTCCCTGTGATTTTATCAGGTACTTCTGTCGAATTGCACATTTTAAAATCCTGCATATATAGAACCTTTTTCTTTAACCACGTGGTAATCATCAGTTCTAATCGCTCATGTTTTGATTATAGCAGCTAAATACAGTTTTATATATACGCCAAGCTTAGATTAAGCCCTGTTGTCATCTAGTTTTTTATACATGTCTCTGTGTTTCATGCTGTCCTCTCTGATCAGATTAGAATTGTGAGTTCAAACATACTGTGTGCTACACAGAGGGTTATAGCCTTGCCTTATCTTACGAGTGTGCCGTGGTCGCGGGACCTTCCTGGCTTAGTTTGCCAAAGATCACCTGCTGTTCCTCACTCGCTACAACTTGAAAAGAAATGACCACACCGCCACATGAGTGGGACTCTAGAACACAGCCACCTCCCTGTGACCTGCCTCCTTGGAGGGCTGGCTACCAGCACGGGGTGGGCTGTGCTGGCCAAGCCTGCCAGTGCCACCTTTCATGTCAGAGAGCTGAGCAGATGCAGAACTATCTCCGAGCATGACCTGCTGCTGCTCATGCAGGCTGCTTTCTGCTTTTAAAAGTTCTCCGAGTGACCACCGAAGGACAGAGTGGGAGTGCCTGTGGCCACTGTCACCCCTACATCAGTCTGAGTTCCAGCATGAGTGCTCATGAGGACACCTCCTCCTTTGGTAGAGGGACCCATTCGATGTGTCCTCATAAGGACTGTTTAGAACTGGGAGAACATCCACTTCTTTTAGCTCTGAGGTCAGGCAAGCATGGAAGCGCCTGGCCAGGCAGGACTGCTGCTGGCCACAGCTTGACCTCACCTGCTTTTCCTTCCTTAGCAACATGGGCAACCTTACTGCAAGATCCCCCACTGCTTGTCTGCCCTTGTCAGCAGCGGGTCAAGACATCTGTGTGACGGGTGTGAAGAGAGTGGTTCTGGAAGTGCCACTGAAGTGCGGACTGCAGAGGAGGCCTCCGGATATGGGGGTCCCTGCCCATGTCAGGCTCCTGCAGCACAGGATTTGCCACAGGGTAGGGATGGGGGAGGCGGTCAGAGCACTTTACATCTTAAATGACACAGGGGAGACGAAGAGTGCAGGGGACACCTGTAGTTTAGAGGAGCCAAGGGCCCAGCGAGTGAGCAGTCACTTGGCATAGGTTCAGGCAGCTTCAGGGGCCCAGCCAGCCAGTGATCATCCTGTGTCCCAGCAGCTTCAAGCCATCACGGGGTACAGGAACTAGATCACGTGACCCAAACTTCTCCTGCTAATCATAGCCACGTGTGTGCCACAAGTGCCTCGCCCTTGTCCCCAGCTGTCCAGCGTTGCGGGAACTTTCTCCTGCATAGCTCTGCTCTCTACCTGAGAAAATGAGAGGAGCTGGTGCCGCACACCTTTGATCCCAGCACTCTGGAGGCAGAGGCAGGCGTTTCTCTGAGTTCGAGGCCAGCCTGGTCTACAGAGCAAGTTCCAGAACAGCCAGGGCTGTTACACAGAGAAACCCTGCCTCAAAAAAGAAAAAGAAAAATGGCTGCAATGGGTGCCGTCTTCCTGCCAAAGAATTACAACCCATTATGACCATGCGGAGATGGTCATTCACCTTTCCACAGTGTCCCTGGCCCTCAGCATGGCATAGCCAGCTCCTGCCTCCTTGTTCCTACCCTGAACCACAGCCACTCAGTGGCCAAGCAAAGCCCTGCTGTCGAATTCATAGCTTCCCTGTCCTTCAGTTAGCCAACTGTAAATAAGACCTTGTCCCTATCTGCTACCTGTGGCCAGTGGCCTTAGCCCCCCTCCCCCCCAGTCTCCAGTTCACCCCTCCTCTAAAAGAGGAGGCAACCTCTTTACCCCAGAGAGTATGTTCCCACCCTGGTGTGTTCTACCCAAGCCACACCCATCCCCCTTCCTCTGCTTGATCCCTGCTACCAAGTCTGCTTTAGAAGTGCCAGTCCTGCCCGGCAGGCAGCTCTTAGGAGACTCCATCCAGCTCCACCCACACTGCATCCTGAAATCTCACACTCTGGTTTCACTTTGCTATGAGTGAGCCAAGTCCTGACTGAATGTGTCTCGCTGACATAGATGCTGCAGGTCGAGAACTCCAAGGCCTCAGCCCCACTCACAGCCTTACCCCAGTGAGGCTCAGAGGAATGGCAAAGCCTTCCTCCTGAGTCCAACTACGAATGATTATGGTTGATTGGCCAGTGTATGCAAAGATGTTTACAGCCCAAGACTGCTTAGCTACAGAAGCCTCCTTCAAAGACTAGATAACCCCTCCCTCTGTGCTGTGCCTAATAAACACACAGCCTCCAGGTAGGGCAGTGGTAGACTCCCAATTTTACTATGTGGGTGTCTGTGTGTTGCTGTGGGATAATGCTTTTGTACACTGATCTAATAAAATGCTGATTGGCCAGTAGCCAGGCAGGAAGTATAGGCAGGGTAAGCAGACAAGAATTCTGGGAAGAGGAAGGCTGAGTCAGGAGATGCCTGCCTGCTGTCCAGGGAGCAGCATGTAATGGCACACAGGTAAAGCCATGAAACACGTGGCAACATATAGATTAACAGAAATGGGTTGATTTTAAGTGTAAGAGCTAGTCAGTAGTTAGCCTGAGCTAATGGCCAAGCAGTTTTAATTAGCATAAGCCTCTGTGTGTTTACTTAGGTCTGAGTGACTACGGGAGGGACTGGTAGGTGAGAAAGTTTTGTCCCAACCGCAGGCCAGGTGGGACACAGGAAAACTTCAGCTACCATGTGTCTGTACTTTGCTAATTCCCACGCGTCCCCAGTCAGAGTTCCAGAACCAAGTCGCACACAGCACGGCAGACCTTGTAGAACACAGGTGTAGCGCCATGCCTTCCCCGGTACGTCACAGGCAAACCAGCTGGTGGAGGTGGTAATTATGTAGGGCTATTGTTTCTCCTGTGCCCACACTGATGGCTCATCTCTGAGCTCCTGTCCTGAGGCCACAGGTCGTTCTCAGCCTGTCCTCCTGCTGCATTGTGTACTCATAGGAAGTCAGCAGACCCCATGCCCTCCTTGAAAAGAGGCCCACACATTAGCCACTCCTGTTTACTGAGCATCTGACGTGTCTGCGCTGCCCGGAGCTAGAGACTCGCCATGAAAAGATGGGCCTCTAGCTTTTTGGAACTTGCAGTCTGACCAGTGAGATGCAGCACTCAGCAGATGAGCAAACGGGACACCAGCAGCAGTGGTGGGGGTAGAGTCCACTGCTCCCACAGGAGCACAGGGAGGCCAGAGGCCTGCGACGGACCAGTGTCTAGCCCCCTCCCAGGTAGGGACACGGGAAAGGACATCACTGGAGCCTCATTTCACCATCTGAGGGGTGGGATGCTTGGACTGCCAGCCCTGCAGCTGTGGGATTACACCTGGTTGTCACCCTCATAGCTCACAGGGCGGGTTCTGTGTGGCTGTCTTGGACAGTGTGCTCAGCCCTCAAGCCCACAGCTGGCCGGTGAAGCCTGGGATGGCATCAGCCTCTGGGCTCAAGGCCCTGCATGACCAAGGCAGCTTCCTAGGCTTTAATCCACAACAGCCAGCACTGGAGCCCAGACCTCTGACTGGCCAACTGAAGAGGGGCAAGTGTGCTGGACAGACGGCTCAGCAATTCAGAGCTGCCCTTCCAGAGGCTCCAGGTTCAATTCCCAGCACACATGGCAGCTCACACCTGTCTGTAACTCCTGTTCCAGGTATCTGACATGCTCACACAGACATACATGCAGGTAAACACCAATGCACATAAAATAAAAATTAAACATTTGAAAAAAATTAAGACTCAAAGTGCCAGGCTAGCAAATGTGCGATGCATCGCATTGTGACAGGTTGGGGGCTGCTGGCTTCTCAGAATTCTGTTCCTCAGAGATTCAGAGAAAGCCTGTGGCAGGCCCTGCAGAGAGCTGACCACAGAGTCACCTAGAGGTGGCCAAGCAACAGCCATCCTTCCCTCCTCTGAGCTGATCTGAGGACAGCGGCATGCAGAGTGCAGATTTCAGAGCCAGGAAACGGTGGCCATCCTTCACCACCAAGGCTCCCCACCCACCATGAAAATGAGGAAGTTGTCCCCTCATGTGGAGATTCCATTTAGATTCTCTTTATATATGCATATGTTTTAGGAATCTTCCACAGCAGTAGATTTCCATATGGCTTTTCAAAAGGCCATTAGTGTTAGCTGTCCTCCACATTCCCTCTCGTTTCCCTAACTAATCCTTTTATTCTAGTTTCCCATTTCTCCGTTTTGAATACTATATTCTGTTTCCCTTCCCCAGCCCCATCATATGCTACCAAGAAAAATCAGGGTCAGGAATGGGTTGCATATTTTTGAATTATTGGCCCAAAGGGTCCCATAGATGTCCCCAGACATTAAACTGTTCCCAATGCTATTGGTTACTGTCAGATCCAAAAGAAACTCCATTTCACCGGATTTCAAAAGGCAGAAGGTACAAATGTCTCTTCTCACCTCCCCTCCCCTCCAGCTCATGGACGTCCCTTCCCCCCAGCTACTCATTCTTACAACCTTGATATTTTAGCTCTATTCATTCTTGCTCTCCACTCTTCTGATCGCTCATGTCCAGGTCTAGTGTTCTGGCCATGTTCAGTCTGCTTTCTCTCTCTGGACTCCTCCAGATGCCTCTGGCTGTTCTCTCTTATATCTAAAACCTTAAACATAGCCATGGCATGGTCATGGTGCCAGCTTATGCCTCTGGTGCCAAAACCCAGGAGAAGCACAAATGGACCCCTTTCCAAGGGACCCAACCTCTCCTAACTGAATCAAGCAGCTGAGTTGGATCTCCTAAGGTATGTATGGATCATTTGTTTCTGCTGGCTTCTGCCACCCACCATATTTGACTACAAACTCCAGAGTCCACCTCTTCAGCTACTCCTACTTCTCTACTGACTCAAGGCACCTCTCGGCCTCTGACTCCTGGGCACCCATCACCTGGAAAGGCTCTGTCTCTGTCCTGGCACTGCTGTGTCACCTTGGACCTACCTGCTCTTGTCTGCTGGCTCCTGGAGCCTACTCCTACAAAAGTCCTACCAGTGTGCCGGGTGGCTTTTCTTGCCCTACTGGGCACCTGTCACATGGGACAGGACACCCCTTCTTTGGGATTTGGGACACTTCTCTGACAAGTCTCTTGGTCTGCT